TGAACATCCTGGCTCTCACATGCTCCATCCGAAAACAATTATCCTAAATTACTCCATGCTATTAGCAGAGTGAACTCAAATGGACATTTCCTCCCAATTATAGTGATGCAGTAGCCAGAATAAGCTAATTTACAAGTATCTGCCTAGGTCCACTAAACTGGGCAATCTGATCTGAGAAAGATAAAATGTACACATGGCAACTTCAGCCAGAATTGTACCAGTGCATGTATGTATGTGTTTATGTGCAAATATATCAAGATAAAATAAATAATAAGATGTACTAGACCAGAAATTCTATCCCTCTAAGGATATTCTATCCCTCTAAAGCAGGGGTCCTCAAACTATGGCCCGCGGGCCACTTCCGGCCCGCCAAGGGCACTTATCCGGCCCGTGGAGGAGGAGGGCCCCCCCCCCCACACACAGTGCCCCTCCCTTGGCTGGCTCATGCTATCCGTCAGGCCCGATGGGCAGTGTGAGGCATCCAAGGGCAGCTGCTCCACGTGGCCTACTCACGCGTAAAGCACCTCGCGAGGTGCTTTACACATGAGTAGGCCACGCGGGGCTGCTCCTCCCTTAGGTGGCTCACGCTGCCTATCGGGCCCGATGGGCAGCGTGAGCCAGCCAAGGGAGTCTGCCCCGGCGCTCTATGCAGTCATGCCGGCCACATGACCTTGGAGGTGTCTACGAACAAAGCCGGCTCTTCGACTTAGAAATGCAGATGAGCACCACACCCCATAGTCAGACATGACTGGACTTCATGTCAGAGGAAAACCTTTAACTAGGAAAATTGTGGAAGATCCAGGGTGGGAGAAAGAACTCTTGTCTGTTGGTGGTAGGTATGAATGTTTCAATTGGCCATCTTGATTACCATTTTATAGCCTGACAGTTTTTAGGGAGAATCCTTTGTTGAGAGGTGATTAGCTGGCCCTGATTGTTTCTTGTCTGGAGTTCCCCTGTGTTTGAGTGTTGTTCTTTATTTACAGTTATAATTTTAGAGTTTTTTAATACTGGTAGCCAGATTTTGTTCAGACTAGAAATAGGAAGATTTCCCATTCTCTGCTCCTGGAATTACTGCCTATATAGGGCTAGAAATAACCCCCTCTAAGGGCCCTTCCACACAGCAAAATAAGATATGTGCAATGTGCATAGGAATTTTTTTATTGATTAAAAAAAAACCCTATAGTCCGGCCCTCCAACGGTCTGAGGGACAGTGAACTGGCCCCCGGTTTAAAAAGTTTGAGGACCCCTGCTCTAAAGTAGTCTAGCTTCACATCAGGCTTGTAGAATCAAATAGCTGTGTTCTTATCCTTGTTGCCACTGACAAATTTGAACATAGCTAATGATTCTGCTGCATTTTTATCTGACATCCGAAAGTCAATACAGGACTGAGCTGATCAAGATAAAAGTCACTAGTAAAATGAACCTTATGAACTTGCTAGGACTTTAAGATCGTCCAGGGAGGCTCTGCTCTTGATCCCGCCTGCATCACAAACACGTTTGGTGGGGACGAGAGACAGGGCCTTCTCAGTGGTGGCCCCTCGGCTATGAAACGCCCTTCCTGGGGACATTAGATCGGCCCCGCTCCCTCTTAACATTTCGGAAGAGAGTCAAGACTTGATTGTTTGAGCGAGAGTTTGAAAATGCAAGGTAAAAGACATAGGAACTGGAACGACTGGACAACAAGATGGGACAATGATTTTATTAGGAGACACAAATGATGTGTGCTTTTAGTATTCTTGTTATGGTTTTATATTATGTGTTAATGTTTTAAAATATTTTATGGTGTTTTTGGACATTGAATCATTGCCATTGTAAACCGCCTTGAGTCGCCTGAGAAGGGCAGTATACAAATTAGTAAACAAATTACTAGATAGGATGGAGAGAGAGAGGATGCTTGCCATAGATGCAGGCGAAACATCAGGAGATAATGGCCATATAGTCCAAAAAACCCTACAATAACCCAAGTCTAAAATTCCCCTGCTTTCCTCCCCAAATGGGATGAGGTCCATAGTAGTCTTGGCTTTTGATATTGCACTATAGTTAGCTTTTAAAGTTTGTTTTTCCTGCAATTTTGAGGTCTCCCCTGATTAAAAAATAAGGCAGAGTGGGTTGGGACTGCACTCGCTCGTGTGATGATTCAGCAGGTGAGACAGAAAGTGAGAAGGCCGGAGAACATAAAGCATCTGGTGGTATTTGTAAAATGAAACAATGTCTTTTAAAACAGAAAGAAATGGTACGCTTTGCTATGAAGACGATCTCTTCCCCCCCCCCCCCCCCCGCAACGTGTCTGATGAAGTCCTAAGTCACCTTATTGTTATGGGTCTGACCATCTACACAGATAATTCACATAGCAGTGGTTTATTTTGGGGTGGCAAAATAAAGCCCTCTGGGATTCCCTGGATGGTTTCTCCCCTTCCCTCATGACACTATAACGTGGTAGTTTCTCATATTTCGTAAGATTTCCCTTCCTCCTCCCATTCCAAATGTCATGAATAGCTTTATACCAAACACATGATGATATGTTTAGTCACACTCTGTTGTCCTTGGCAAAATGATGTGGCCCCTGTGTAAGGTTTCTCAGCTCCAACTGTGTTGCTGTGGATTAGTCTTCTCTGAAAGAACACACCAAGATGCACGTGGGATGAAGATACCATACGTCTTTATTGTTCAGAATACAAGAGCCTCGCACTACTGTCCTTCTATATAGGCCTAGCTACAATATCATAAATCACTAAGGAGTCCTGGCGCCTGGAGCTTGCTCCTTTTCGCATTCCAGAGCCCACTATCCTCCCACTTTGGGGCAATTTATTTTTATTTCTGGTTCATATGTCCTGTCCTTCCTCTTGGCCCATAGCCATGTGCTGTGTGTCAGAATGGCTAGTTGGATGGCATGAGATAGAGATCATGACTCTCTGAGATGTTATCTGTAACTGACATACATGCAAATACATGGAAGGGGAGAAAAGAATCACTTTAATCCCTGAATCTTCCCTCCATTGATTTGCAAGAAGTTCTGACCCAAATGAAAAATGCATCATATCTATGTGTTTCAATCTGTGGCATTGATTTCAATTTCTCCATCCCCTGTTTGGATATCAGACAGCACGCCAACGCCTTAAATCAAGAAAAAGATTTACAGAGATGTTTGCAGGAACACCTCAGCAAGTGAGAGTCCAAAAGTGGCAGGATAAAATCCAAAACCTCAAGCCATGGCTGATACCGAATGAGAGACTCCCCTCTGGGCACACAGAAGACTGGGCAACTTGGAAGGCGCTGAACAAACTGCGATCTGGCACAATGAGATGCAGAGCCAACCTTAAGAAATGGGGTCCACGACATGTGAGTGTGGAGAAGAGCACATCACAGACCACCCATTACCATGCATCCTGAGCCCTGCCACATGCACAATTGAGGAGCTTCTTATAGCAACACCAGAAGCACTCCAAGTGGCCAGCTACTGGTCAAAGGACATTTAATATAATGCCAAATTTTATATTAATACCCAATATGGCCAAATACCCAATACATCAAAATTTGAATGCTGGTGTGGTTGGGAGGGGGGGGGGGTTTGATTTTGTCATTTGGGAGGTGTAGTTGCTGGGATTTATAGTTCACCTACAATCAAAGAGCATTCTGAACTCCACCAACAATGGAATTGAGCCAAACTTGGCACACAGAACTCCCATGACCAACAGAAAATACCGGAAGGGTTTGGTGGGCATTGACCTTGAGTTTGGGAGTTGTAGTTCACCTACATCCAGAGAGCACTGTGGACTCAAACAATAATGGATCTGGACCAAACTGGGCATGAATACTCAATATGCCCAAATGTAAACACTACTGGAGTTTGATGGAAGATCTACCTTGACATTTGGGATTTGTAGTTGCTGGGATTTATAGTTCACCTAAAATCAAAGAGCATTCTGAACTCTACCAATGATGGAAACTTGGCACACAGAACTCCCATGACCAACAGAAAATACTGCAAGGGTTTAGTTACCTTAAAGTTTGGAGTTGTAGTTCACTTATATCCAGAAAGCACTGTGGACTCAGACAATGGTGGATCTGGACCAAACTTGGCACGAATACTCAATATGCCCAAATGTGAACACTAGTGGAGTTTAGGGGGAAATCTAGGTTAACATTTGGGAGTTGTAGTTGCTGGGATTTATAGTTAACCTACAATCAAAGAGCATTCTGAAAACCAGCAATGAAGGAATTGAACCAAACTTGGCACACAGAACTCCCGTGACCAACAGAAAATACTGGAAGAGTTTGGTGGCCAGTGACCTTGAGTTTTGGAGTTCAACTACATCTAGAGAGCACTGTGGACTCAAACAATGATGGATTTGGACCAAACTTGGCACGAATATTCAATATGCCCAAATGTGAACACTAGTGGAGTTTGGGGGAAAATCTAAACGGACATTTGGGAATTGTAGTTGCTGGGATTTATAGTTCACCTACAATCAAAGAGCATTCTGAACCCCACCAACGACAGAATTGGACCAAACTTCCCACACAAAACCTCCATGGTCGACAGAAAAGTTTCCTGATGGCCTTTGGTGACCCCTGTAAGACCCCTCATGGCCCCCCAGTGGTCCCGAACCCCAGGTTGAGAAATACTGACATATGCCACCGACACTCTTAAGAAGACAACCCAGAGAAATAAGCTTTTGTCAAAGCCCACTTGAAATGTTTCCAGGATAGGAGATGCTGAATGGTTTGGCTAAAGATATTATGCAGAAGCAGAAGCTGAAGATTTCTTAAATTTTATTATTGCCTTCTAAATTCAGCCCACTCCTCATTCAACTACCAGTTCCAACATGTCAGTACACCAAGGACCGCAGAAGACACAAAAATCAGAGCACATTCATTATACCGCAAACTCACCACATGCCACAACGGGACAAACTGAAATCTTATTCTTGTCCTTTTCTACAGGTTAGTCCTACTAGTAGAGATGTTAAAATAGAGACTCATTTCATTTCATGCTCTACCTTTTGGAAGAACTGCTTCTCTGGCAGCTTGGATGCCTTTACAGAGACTTTCTCGGAAGGACCCAGGGAGGAGAACATCAAAATGCCTTACCTCTGTGGTAAGACAGGAACAAATTGAACTATGCCTACAATAAGCTATGGGAAATCCCAATAAGTCAAGCATATTTGAGCAGCCGCATTCAACTAATTTCCCAATTATACATTCAGGAAGCAAAGATGAACTGCAAGAGAGGAGGGAGTGGACTCTCAGGTGAGTGAGTCACAGCGCCAGAGCAAGTTTCATTTCGTTCCTGTTCCTTGCCTTACATAGACCAACCCTTCCCTTCCTATAAAATGAGAGTAAGTTGCGAAACTCTTGAGTTGCCACATTTCAAACTTCAGCCCTAATATTGGGGCACATTCTTAGAGCCTCAGGCAGAACGTTTAGATTTCAGAGCCATCTACTAACCAAATGACTACCTGTCAGAACTGGCCGAAGACCTGTTGCTGCTTGAGCTCCCACTGGCCACCTAAATCGGCATTTCTCAGAGGGGTCACCAAAGACCATCAGAAAACATATATTTCTGATGGTCTTAGGAACCCCTTTGGCAGAGTAGGCTGAAGATCACTTTGTCTGTCCTCCTCTTCCTTTTTGGAAACAGACGGCAAACCCCCTAACCAAAAGCCCACCTTCACTGTAATTGGTCAGCCTCTCAGCCAAGGGAAGGGGTGTTTCTGAGACTCCAGGTGGGGAGGGGAGAGCACGTGGTGCGCATATGCGGGCAAGGGAGAGCATGTGAGGCTGGAGGGTGGCTCGTGCAAGCAAGTCCCTTCAAGACATGGGGGTTCTGTGTGGGACATTTGGCCCAATTCTATCGTTGGTAGGGTTCAGAATGCTCTTTGATTGTAGGTGTACTATAAATCCCATTAACTACAACTCCCAAATGTCAAGGTCTATTATCTTCAAACTCCACCAGTGTTCACATTTGGGCATATTGAGTATTGGTGCCAAGTTTGGTCCAGATCCATCATTGTCTGCAGATTTCTCTGGATGTAGGTGAACTACAACTCCAAAACTCAAGGTCAAGGTCCACCAAACCCTTCCAGTATTTTCTGTCAGTCATGGGAGTTCTGTGTGGCAAGTTAGGTTCAATTCCATCATTGGTGGGGTTCAGAATGCTCTTTGATTGTAGGTTAACTATAAATCCCAGCAACTACAACTCCCAAATGAAAAAATCAATTACCCACCCCCAATCGATGTACCTGAGGGACCGCCTCACCCCCTACGAACCCCAGAGATCCCTCTGTTCTGAGGACCAAGATTTATTGGAAATTCCCAGTGTCAAGACCTTGTGTCTAACAGCAACCAGACGCTGAGCCTTTACAGCAGTGGCACCCTCACTCTGGAATACTCTGCCACCTGAAGTACATGCCTTGCGGGACCTATCAGCTTTCCGCAGGGCATGTAAGACATATCTGTTTTGACAGGCCTTTGATCTTTGATCTTGTTGTTTTTTAAATTGTTTTTAAATTGTTTTAAATTGTGTTAGATTTTAGCCCGTCCTTTTAAGCCGCTCTGAGCCCCAGGGGAGTGGCGGCATATAAGTTTGAATAATAAATAAATAAACCCCACCAGTATTCAAATTTGGGTGTATCGGTTATTTGTGCCAAATTTGGTCCAGTGAATGAAAATACATCCTCCATACTAGTTATGTACATTACAATTTGTAACAGTAGCAGAATTAGTTATGAAGTAGCAATGAAAATAATTTCATGGTTGGGGGTCACCATAACATGAAGAATTGTATTAAGAGGTTTTAAGAAAGAGTAGATGGACTACTGCAAATTCTACTTCAAAGAAACAACCATCCTCTTCTAATCAATGTATTTTTGTAGTGACATGTCTTTATCCTTAGCAGTTTAAAGACATGGTTCTTCAGTTTAACAGCTGAGTTACCTGTGTGCCAATACACAATACTTATGAATATCACTTGTTCAGTAGTTTGTCTTCTTACAAGGTCATGCTTTTCTTGACTAGTGGTTTTCAAAAGGTGGTCTCCACATGTTCATGGAGACTCACACTTGCCAAACGGATGTGACATCATTTTTACCTTTTCAGTAAGGTTATGGTGCACTTATTTCCAATAAGTTATGGAATTTCCAATAGATGAAACTTCAGAACTCTTTGGCAGAAAAGGCTAAAGACCTTGTAAAACTAGAACTCCCATGATGGTGTCATGTAGAGCCATGGCAGTCAAGGTGGTATCAAACTGCATCAAATTTCACAGTGTAGATGCACCTTCGTTTTCTATCTTTTCCTTTCACACTTTGTCTTATTTCAGTTGGGACAAACTTATTTCAAAAGGCAAAAATAATTGTTTCTGGATCATAATCCTTGAAATTGGCATTGTTGATAATGCAAATTCTGAATAGGATAATGTTCAGGGTTCTCCTAGGAACTAGAGTCTCTGAATTCCTTCTCTCTGCCTCTTCTAAGGAGCCTAAGGCCATTGTGAGGACTCTGATCCTAGGCTCATGATGGCAAACATCTCCAGGCTTGCATTAATCATACAGTCAGCCAGATTTATATATAAATAAAACGTGGTTTATTGTCAACGTTCTTCCTGTAGAACACTTTAGAAGGAAATCAATTTCACTAGGACATTTGTTTATATAGTTTTCTGGTAAACATACATGTCATCTACTTCTTCCTTGAATGCTTTAGTTTTGCAATAAAAATGTTGCACACATTCCCAAACAATGTGTTTATATTATGGCCACCAGTGTTTATGCATATTAATAAGTTAACTAGCCCTCACACTGGCATTTTTAGAGACTTGCATGGAATGCCATAATCCATGGAGTATATCAGTCTCCATGCAAGTCTCTAAAAATCATGATTCGCAGATGCTCTACAGCAGGGATTCTAAAAAGCTTTCTACTCGCAACCCCTTTCCGCCCAAGACATTTTTACGTGACTCTGTGTATATACGATAAATATATAAAATTGAAATAAAAACAAAATATTAACTGAACATAAATCAGCATTTGCAAGGCTTGCTAAACAGGCTGGTTTTTCTTTTTGTGAGATACAACTGAAACATTTTTAACAGCCCACTGCATGTTGTGGCTAACACATTTGTAGTAATGGGTGGTGTTTGGAAACCACTGACTGCTGCCAGTTTTTTGTGACCCCCAACCTTGAGTGAAGGTGAAGGCCCACAGTTTCAGAAGCAGTGCTCTGCAACAGGGATCAGGAACATGTGGTTCTAATATGCCGACTCATAAACTGAGACTTATATGGATTCCTCTAGGCCAGGGGTCCTCAAACTTTTTAAACAGAGGGCCAGGTCACAGTCCCTCAAACTGTTGGAGGGCCGGATTATAATTTGAAAAAAAAATGAATGAATTCCTATGCACACTGCACATATCTTATTTGTAGTGCAAAAAACCCCCACTTAAAACAATACTGTAATTAAAATGAAGAACAATTTGAACAAATATAAACTTATTAGTATTTCAATGGGAAGTGTGGGGCTGCTTTTGGCTGATGAGATAGGATTGTTGTTGTTGTCGTTGTGTGCTTTCAAGTCGTTTCACACTTAGTTTGATCCTGAGTGAGGGCCGGGTAAATGACCTTGGAGGGCCGTATCCTGCCCCCGGGCCTTAGTTTGAGGACCCCTGCTCTAGGCGGTAAGAAGCCAGACCTTGAAACTGCCAGGCCATTAAATGCTAATCAGAGTGGCTAACTGAAACATTCACATCTGCCTCAATCAGATAAGAGTTATTTCTCCCACCCTGGACATTCCACAGATATATAAACCAATTTTTCCTAGTTTCCAACAGACCTCACAACCTCTGAGGATATTTATTTATTTATTTCTCGTGTCAGGGCAACCAGTCGATTATATTACATTTCTAACATAACAAAGCAAACAAACTGACAAAATACAAAATTTGTGAGGATGCCTGCCATAGATGCAGGCAAAATGTCAGGACAGAATGCTTTTGGAACATGGCCATACAGCCCACAAAACTCTCAAGAACCCAGTTTCCAAGCAATTCACCAATCACAATTTTTAGATACACCTGTTTCAATTTGGCTGGCTTGCATTGCTACTATTAATATACCCGTGCCTGTAACCCTCTTGTTATGAAGACAAAAGTCACAAGTGGAATGCGGGGGCTGGGGTGGGCTGGGATTTGCTATTGAGTTTCTAGAATAAAGAGTGGTAAAATAAATCATCTGACAACAGTAGTATTATGGCCACCTTCATATGTGAGATCTGGAGCAATGGGCCCTAGTGCTTGAAAGAGAACTCTCCAGCAGTGGAACTCTCTGCCCCGGAGTGTGGTGGAGGCTCCTTCTTTGGAAGCTTTTAAACAGAGGCTGGATGGCCATCTGTCAGGGGTGATTTGAATGCAATATTCCTACTTCTTGGCAGGGGGTTGGACTGGATGGCCCATGAGGTCTCCTCCAACTCTTTGATTCTATGATTCTATGAGAGAAAGATCAGTCTCCCTTTGAAATTTTGTTGAGCAGGAAACTTTGCAAACTTGTTTATGCTCTTTTCTTCTCTTAGTTTCACTGTGTCACTGCTTCTCTGTGCTATATGTAGATTGCAGAAGTTTGGCAAAAAAGTGGAGAAGGGACTCTTATTACAAGCCCAGAATGTTGCAACAGGAGCTCACTTGGGCACTAAGAGTTACTCATCTTGCACAATCTTGCTGATTGGCACAACCTCGGGATCATAACAGTGAAGACACAGTGAAGACATCTGCCCTTGCACTTTGTTACTCTGCTGCTGAATACACATGCCCAGTGTGGAATACATCTCACCATGCTAAAACAGTTGATGTGGATCTTAATGAGACACACCACATTATCACATGATATCTATGCCCCACACCACTGGAGAAATTATACTGTTTAGCCGGTATTGCACTACCTGACATCTGTTGGGAAGTAGCAGCCTATATTGAAAGGACCAAGACATTGACATCGCTGGCCCACCCTCTGTTCGGATATCAGCCACCACGCCAACACCTTAAATCAAGAAATAGCTTCCTAACATCTACAGAGATACTCGCAGGAACACCTCAGCAAGCAAGAGTCCAAAAGTGGCAGGCTAAAACTTGGAACCTCAATCAGTGACTGATACCAGATGAGAGACTCCCTCCTGGGCACACAGAAGACTGGGTGACCTAGAAGGTGCTGAACAG